CACTAAATAAACCACGTCAGATTATTTGTGGTATTTTGAACACCATAGCCTTGATAAAGCATCACTTCTCATAGAGTAAGGTTCATTATTTCACATTTTTATAGTTAACGTGGTGTCTTAAAAAATGTGACTGAAGTATTATAATTAGTCTTTGTCGAATTCCTAATTTAAAAGTTGTAAATAACTGACAATGTAGTACTACAAGATCATTAGCACTCACCAAACAAAAGTTTAGATTTATTTAAAAACAATATTAGCAATGACTAGATATTTCAGTTTAACAGAAACAGAAAAATGCTGAAGATTAGAAAAATACAACAAATAAAGAATTTACAAAATAATATATGTGAACAGTCCATTTTATAATCATTCAGTTTTATATATATTTTTAAAACAATATGTTCTAAAAATAACTTCTAAACAAGAAATTTGATTTCCTGTTATTACAACTTGGAAATAATTGATAAAAGTATTAAAAGAACAAAAATGGAATAAACAGCAATATGTTTAAACTAACAATGGAAAACTTGAGAATACACGTATACAGTGCATTGTCAGGTCTATAGTCAGTATGTTTGAATCACTTTATGCTTGTTGATGTATTTATTTATATTTCACCAAGACAGATATGTTCCCATACAACATAAAGCCTAGAAATGCTGCAAATATTTCATGCCTTACCAAGCATACAAACTTTTGCCTTTAAATATAATTTTCATGTAAGTATGCTTTGGTATTCAAACATTGAAACATTATTTAGATTTATAATAAACTGGCAAGAGATTTTACATTAAAAAAAAAATTAGTGACTTGGAAAGCAAAACAGTGTTTTAATAATGGCACATGTAGTTTGTACATTTAATAGTTAAATTCAAATTTTTATACTTGTATTTATGGCAATGTTCTTAAGCCTATGTACTGCCATCCATAATTTTGACCAGGGAAAGGTAGCCAATCAGAAACATCCTGACACTCACCATTCAAGCTAAGAGAATGATTGTCACTCTTAAAAATGTAAACAAAGCTTAAAATTTCATGGAATATTCTATATCATCACACTGATTCAAACACGGTTAAATATCCAGATATCATCCACAGGACTAGCTTGTATCCCCAAATATATATTTTAACATATACAAAAAAAAAGTTGTTTTCTGTTTTTATTTGGTAGCGACTTCATTGTGTTTATGTATGTTTCTGTATACTATTTTATGGATTAAAAATGATAACATTATGACAGATATGGTAGTAATAGACTGGATAAACTATCATGAGATTCTATTGTAAAAACTAGCCGGTTTACTCTCAAACTATACAAAAACTGTATCTTTTGAAGCTATGAAAAAAACAATGGGTTTTTCACTTAAAAAATGGTTGTATTCCCAAGAACTTTTTTCACACAATAAAACAAAAATATATATAGAAAGAAATGAAATAATATGGAAATATAGATATAACAAATTATAAAAATCCAACCCCTTGACTAAAAATACAAAAAAAAAGGCAAAGGTTCCAGCAGAATGATCTAGACATCATGGCTTTTTGAGTCTTATGTATAAATTAGTTTTCTAATAAAAAGAAAAATAGTTCACTCAATATCACAAGCACAAACATAACAAATGAAATGATATTTGAAAAAGGGAAACCAAAATTAGCAAAGATACATATTTTGAGAACTTATGAAAATTAAATCTTCTACACTTCCATGGCTCATGTTCATTGGCCTAAATATCTGAGAATTGTTTTGTAAAGAACTAGTTGACCCAATCACATTTCACAATACAAAATACTAGTACATAATTCATTCCAGTTTAACAAACTAGCACATCCTGCCTCCTCCTGTCAGACAAGAGGCTTCTCTGCATTCATTGCAGTTATGCTAAGTAACTTTTGGAATTTTGTCTATCATTATCACTAATGAGAAATGTTAGAGTTTAACTTATACTGTTCAAATATTTGTGTACGTAAACAATATACAAGCATGCATAGAATGTGTGATTTTGAAATGGAATATAATGATAATATATAATTATAGGGCCATATCTTAGTCTTAAGCATATCTAAAAATCAAACCATAATAATTACTTAACTAGAAACTGAAGATTTTCAATGACAATTTTGAATAAATGAATAATTCAGTATTTGAAAGACATTGTTTTTAAAATAAGTAAATGAAAAAGATATTACTGATTCATAGTACTAACAATTCAAATGGAAAACAAAATATGTAATGTATTATCACAGAGCAAATACCAAAGTTACCATGATTAACTGGCATCATAAACAAAAAGTATAATTTTTTATTTGTTGGATACTTCCTGATATAATCTTTGACAACATTTTTTAAGTTCCATACCATGTAAAAGTTATTCAATTTTAAGACATATATATATATATATATATATAACTATTTTTGACTGGCTAGTCTCCTAAAAGATTGGCATCTTCCTTTGTTTATGTTGCTTCCAGAAGTTTGTCGTCATCATCTTCTTCTTCACCCTGATAAGGACTAACTGCAGGGTTTGTATTTCCAGGAAGATCCACTTCAATAGGAAAGATATTTGCTGTTTTCATTACAGCATGAGAATCATTATGGTAGTTTGACAATGCTGAAACAAGACGTTGTAGCTGGAAGACTATGTCTTGAACTGAAACAATAATAGATGAGCTTTTTTACAAATTTAAACACTGTTATTACACAGTTTAAAAATAGATATCTGTCTTTTCTGTAGTCAGCCTTATTTGTGCCATTAATGAATGTATAATATTCAAATATTTCTAGTCAAGTGTAGTCTTTGCTCCTTAAGGAATTCATTTCTGATGGAAATGACAAAATACTAAAAGATAAAAAGGAGTTTTCACTAGATGATTAAAAAATTATAATTATATTTAATTTTTTGAGATATTTCAAAAAGTATTTATCATTCTTTAAAGATATGTATACAAAATGTACATGTATTATTCAAAGCTTTTAATAACTCCAAACAATAACATGGACCTTCAATATTCAAGTATTATTACTTCTATCACTGTAGAATTGTAGGATTGTTACTTCTATTATTGTAGGCTCACTGTAGTTTTTGGTACTGAAAATAAGAAAATAAATTTTATCATTTGACATAATTTTGTGTTATTTTCAAAGCAAAACGTTACTATTGATGACTCAAAAACAGAAGCAGAAAACCTGTCACGGTGCAGCACTGTGGACATACCATGTTTCTGATCCAGAAGTTCGAGCTTGACAAGAACATCAGATCTGAGTTTGGCAAACCTAGCTCTTGCATCTTGTCTACACCGTAGAACTAGCCTGCAAATAAAAAAATGCAATTTTACTGATAAATGAAGATCAGTAACTACATGTAACCAAGGCCATGCAAAAGATTTGTTATTCAATACAGGACTTACTTGCAAACTAAGTAGCCAACCACACTAACCTACCATTGAATACATACACTACAGTTAAACTTGGTTATTTGCCTACTGTAAAAAAGTGGATTAAGGTACAAATTATAAAATTAACTATCAAAAATATAACACAAGTTTTACTTTTCTTCACATTTTTGAAAATTCTAGACACTCTATGGAAGTTTTGGTCACCAAAAAATGAGTTCATGTTTCTGTATGACAATGATACACAGTAGAATCCATTTCACAATGTTATATATGAAATGCACTTTTAGTTAAGTCTTATCAGTGCTCATCAGGTTTAATGAGAAGTAACTAGCAACATATGCTGTATTTGGAATACATTGAATTAAGCTTACATGTAAGAAAAGAAGGATATACAGGGTTTAACAAAAAACTAATTCTATGCAGAAGATCTTGTGTATGTTTTCACAAATGCGCCACTGGTTTTGTTATATCCAGTGTTTAGTGAATGAAATTTTGCACAGTACTCAAATGTCAAAATGTTTTAAACAATCTATCATTCTAAATGTTAAAAAAAAACAAATTAAATATTGTTTGGTCACTTTAATATGCAATTTTGAGGTGCATCTCGAATGATATAAATTTAATGCTTAGGGAAGGAGAAAAGTTCCATATAAATAACTGTTATCTTTATAATATCAAAAACCAAATCATTATATGGTTAATAATTGTTTTAATCATTTATTTAAAAACATCTTAACTGACCATATGATGACATATATACTTGCATTGAGTATTGAATCATTTCTTGAATTTTAGAATCTTGGCCAACCATATGTGTGTATCCATGAATCAACTTTCATCATACACAAACTGCTCTAGATCAATATCTACAAAAGATATAATTACGGCTACAGCCTGCTTGATTGTTGTTTACTGAACTGTATGTTTCAGTCAAGTCTTTGTATTATCTTACAAATATTCACCTGTACTCATAATTCCCAGTCTCAGTTCTGTATAGAGGTTCTTCAAGTGTTTGATAGGCATATTCTTCCCCATCCATTTCCTTCACTTTAAGACAATATGACTACAAATGGAAAAGATACCACATGACTTAACTAAAAACTATTATTATCAAACTTACCAAATTATTCTATTCTTTACTAAAGTGAATATTGTAAGCTTTATGTAATAATTTACAAGGAACAACTAGTAATGAGAAAATTCAGTAGAACAGTAGTTTTGTTGTTATAAACTTTAAAAAGTTAACAAGTACATATATATAACTATTCTGCTAGAGAGATTACAATATTCACTTGAGAAGTCACTGATCAGCCTGCTGTGAATGAACCATACATACCACAGAGGACCAAGTCATTATTTAGTTAAATCTGCTCAGTATTACATGAGTCATAAAGAATATCATACAGATGGAAGTCTAAACTACGTCAAACAAATAAGGTCACATTATTTGAAAAATGGTAATTAAGATGCTAGAAATGAAATGAACATTTCAAAAGTACCTGATTGATTATTAAATCTTAAAAACTTGTTACTAATAAGTTTGTTTAAAAGGGAAGATTATGAATTATAAAAACAAATAATAAATGTTAATCCTCTTTTAACCCAAAAAATAAATTGTTTTTTCAATCTTTTCTGGTAATTTTTTTCATTCCACACTATACCTAGCTTTATGACAATTATGATTACTTTTCAGCAATAATGTTCAGTTTTTCAAACATTCAAGCCACATAAAAGAATTTTTAAGTTAAATAAAATTTTCAATCATAGCTTTTTGCACTTTGTTTGATGTTTACTAGATTGTATAAGTACTGAACAGAAGTTAATTAGTTTTCTATAGCATATCTACAGTGAATATCAGCACTTTGGAAAGGTACACATTTTTACATAAAATTTTCATATCTCAGCTTAACATATGAAGCAAGTATATTTATTTATGTACTCCCATATACTGCATAGGTTAAGGTAATAAATACAACCTAGTCAGCTTCTCTTTGTTCTAACTCTGTAACCAAAGAATATTTGAAGAGAAGAAAGAGAACTAAAACTAAATGTGGATGAAATTTTTTAGTCCTAGAGTTACTTATGGAATCCAGACTCCGTTTGGTTCTTTAAACTATTCATGCATAAAATTGCTCATAGATCAATAACTTTGTTGATTACAGGGTCCCTAATAACAAATGGGTCACATAGATAAATTCAAGCAAAAATAATATCTATATTGCAAATAATTTCACTAATTATTGCTGGGGTTTTCTATGCATTTTACATACATAGTGACTAATTTCACACAATGTTTTTGATCAGTTTTTTATACCACGTATTGTAACAATCAAAATCTAACTACTCAGTATGATGCAACATATAGACTCCACCGCTAATGAACAACATGACAACAAGTTAGTAACTTGAGGGTCAGTTCCCTTGTATAATGTGAAAGTGGAGAAGAGCTTCTCAAATTTTTACTGTAAATTTAGACTCCACCAGTAATGAACAACATGACAACAAGTTAGTAACTTGATGGTCAGTTCCCTTGTATAATGTGAAAGTGGAGAAGAGCTTCTCAAATTTTTACTGTAAATTATTTAGACTCCACCAGTAATGAACAACATGACAACAAGTTAGTAGCTTGAGGGTCAGTTCCCTTGTATAATGTAAAAGTGGAGAAGAGCTTCTCAAATTTTTACTGTAAATTTAGACTCTACCATTAATGAACAACATGACAACAAGTTAGTAACTTGAGGGTCAGTTCCCTTGTATAATGTGAAAGTGGAGAAGAGCTTCTCAAATTTTTACTGTAAATTATTTAGACTCCACCAGTAACGAACAACATGACAACAAGTTAGTAGCTTGAAGGTCATTTCCCTTGTATAATGTGAAAGTGGAGAATAGTTTCTCTAATTTTTACTGTAAATTTAGACTCCACCAGTAATGAACAACATGACAAGTTAGTGTACTTGAGGGTCAGTTCCCTTGTATAATGTGAAAGTGGAGAACAGCTTCTCAAATTTTGACTGTAAATGTAGACTCCACCAGTAATGAACAACATGACAACAAGTTAGTGTACTTGAAGGTCAGTTCCCTTGTATAATGTGAAAGTGGAGAACAGCTTCTCAAATTTTGACTGTAAATTTAGACTCCACCAGTAATGAACAACATAACAACAAGTTAGTGTACTTGAGGGTCAGTTCCCTTGTATAATGTGAAAGTGGAGAAGAGCTTCTCAAACTTTTACTGTAAATTTACAAAGTGAGAACAATTCTATGTTGTCAGTTTATACCACAGTTGTATTTAGTTACGGTGATAATAAATCACTGTAAAACATGTTTTAGAACTAGAACAACAAAACATGCATTACTTTCAATGATAAATAAATATCTTGGCTGAAAATCATGACTGATATACACATATATTTGTAAAAGGAAAGCTCAACTTGTTCCTAGGTTCTGTAAAATGTTGCCTTCACATTTCTGGATGTTTTTGAAACATAAGCTGGTACATGTTAAACAACAGACCACTGCCTAGTAGCATTCCTCACACAACTCAGGACATTTATTGCTGCACTTTAAATTTACATATACTTATTTATTGTTTTACAGTTAGTGAAAATTTGGTCTAATTCTCCAAATTATACTTGAACAGTTTTTAACTCCTAAAATCAAATTACAAAAAACTTTGCTCATCATTTAAACTATTAATTAATGCAATAATGGTAACAAAAGTACAAAGAAATTGTTTAAAAATACTTCAAGAATTAATTAATAGTTATTAGTGTTATAAAGTTTTAATGAATTTACATTTCATGCCTTTAGATTATTGAATCTTATGCATAACCTTTTCTTTTGCCTTTTAATAAATATTTTATATTGATTGGCCAAGAATAAAAGCATCTACTTTTATTGATATGTATTTAACCAAAAAATGAAGCACTGTTCCTACACTGATATTTTTCCTCAGACATTTTCAACAGTAATCTAGACTTCTTCTTTTGGTGTATCATAAACACAACATATTATTAAATGACCTAAGCAAGTTCTGACAAGGAGGGTATGCTGAGGCAAGTTATTACTAGTTAAAGTACATTTAAGGATACAATAAGAAGCTAGAAGTTAAAGAACTTTCCTTCTTTAATGATGGCTATAATGATGGCTATAAACACAGCTCCTACAGCTGTAAGTGCACTATGCTATTCTAGCTTGGGTTTGACTAATCAGCTATACTTACAATGGTATTATTATTATTGTGTTGTACTTGTTTATACAAACATTTATAATCATTTTAATATTCCAATTATAAATAAACATTATGCTCTCAAATGGTTATACTTCAATACATATATAAATATCAAAATATTAAAGTATCTGTCCAATATCAGAAAATCAGTTGTTTTTTTAAATGAATTAATGCTTTCAAATGGAAATGTTAATAACAATGATGTTTAACATCTATGAAAAAAACACTAAGTGTGGTGTTATATGTAATTGTGCTACAACATCTACAATAAATTAATAGGTATAGAAAGTGATATTTAACACTAATATACTTCCTTAATAGTTTTCTGTCATATTTAATGACTGATTACCATTGCTCTTCCTACAAATTTTGAGTTCATACTAAAACAGTTTCAATAATTCTGCACCAAGCATACACACACACAGAAACATAATTTTTAAAACCTAAAAAAAAGTAAGATCTTATTTATGTCAAACAATTTGTTGCAACTAATACATATTTGTGTACAGATTTACAAAAACAACCATATTTGTGACAATATCAATGAAAAAGGCCTCACATATACAAGCTGATCATAAAGAAGTAAAAAGAAAACTAGCTTTTGTTTGATTACTTAGAATCAATCGACATCAATATTATGACTGATCTTACACAATTAAAATAACAGTTGTTTATGTTACAGTTTGCTTCTCATATCAATTAACTAAAACCAACTATTCACTTCAGCTCACTTCAACCTAACAATACAATTCATTATTGTTTCATAAGAATATGTTAGTCATTTAACTAGCTTCTATCACCTGTTCAGGCAGACCCTATTTACTTAATGCATTTCTACTGCTACTTGTCAAAACAAGCTAAAGATACACAGCCATCTATCTTATCATATTAAGATTTACAGTTTTCTATCAGGGCTACTTGTACAAGCAACTAAATATGTTAATAGAAATTCAATAAGTTAAATACAGTTACACCAGAAAAAAAAAAAGTAAAAAAATGAAGGTCTTCAATAAGTGGACATATAATTTTTAATAAAATATTTTGTAAAATTTTATATCAATCAGCAGTATGTATGTAGATTTAAACAGTACCTCATAATTACAACAGATAAATTAACACTTACCAAATATTCAAACTTACTGTCTACATATTTCTTGAAGGTAAGCTTGGTATCAGGTACTGCCTTGTTCACGTAAATATTCAAATCACTCAACATCTAGAAATAAGATCAACCTATATTTCTTCAACCAGATTTAGAAGATTTTTTTGTATAAAACTAAATGTGTAAAACAGTACATGAAGAAACAAGAGATATTTGTAAATCAACAAAAGATGTAAATGCTGCACACACAGAATAACTGTTAGAAGATTTCACTATGATGCCATTATTTTTATTGGAAAAAGTAATCAGTTATAAAATTATACAAAAAGAGGTTTCAACATTTGGCATGCAGTGGAGCATCAGTGGCAGCACTAATCATAAGCAGACTAAACAGCTCAAGAAGCACCGGATTCACAGATTTTTGTTTATTATTATTTTCATCTGTATTTATTTGAAAAAAAAAATATTTTCAACGAATACAATCTAAAAAACATGCCACTCAGTAATGGATAGACGTTTAAGAATTAAAGCAGCATTTGTAGTGTTTAGCACACAAGTAATACACTAACATTGATTGGTTTGTAAGTGCAGTACACACACACACACACACACACACACAGTGTGAATGTTTAGAGATATTGGTGCAGTAGTATTAGTGCGCAAGTGGAAATGACTGTTTAACAAGTGTGTTAGTTTGTGTTGTGCTGATAATACAATTAGTATTTTGTTTAGGGGTGAGTGAGTGGGGCTCAAAAATATTCCTGTATAAAGCCCTCAATGGGCTAGTGCCATCCTTGCAGAATATAATCCCCAAAATGCACCTCAAATAACAAGCTTTGACTTGTCAACAATATGAAGTCTGACAAAAAGAATAAAAAAAAAGGGAAAACTTTGAAGGTAAACATTTTCTGTACTATATTTTCATTGAATATATGTTTAAGTACTGTATACACATAGTAACCAATATGTTTAAATGAGACTTGATGTTATCAAAAGCTATAATTTTCCTACACTAAAAATATATTTCCGATAGGTGCTTACCTCTACTCACATATATAGCTATTCTCTTTCAGTGTTGCCCTCGTATGCAAAAATTGTTTGCATGTCACAAGCCTTGCACTTCCACATATCCCACAATGATCATGGTTCAACTGCATCTCGCATGCTAATCAGCATGCAACAACCCTCTACCAATAAGAGTGCAACACACCCTCCTGACACATGTGACTCTCTCTATTTGCTCCTATCGAACTATCATTTCAAGCTTAGGCATAAAAAAAAGTAACAATTTTCAATGGGGAAGACGAGTGCGAAGTACCTATTGGAAATATATTTTCACTACAGAAAATTATAACTCCTTATATGGTACATTACCTCTGCTCTTATATGTAGTTAGAATCCCACACTGAAGATAGGTGCTTATCTCCACTCACATATATAGCTATTCTCGTTCAGTGCAGCCCTCCATATCAAAAATATTTTTGCATGACATAAACCTTGCACTTCCAACACCCCATGATTATCGTGGTTCAACTGCATCTCACATGCAAATTATCATGCGACTTTACATTTAATGACACCTACAGTACGATCTGAGCAAAAGCAGAAGATGATGTATAATGTGACACAAAAAAAATTGATATTTAGCAATTTTTTTAATATTTACTTTTGAATTAAGAAATTAAATAATGTATAATACTGAAATTTGAATTATAAACTACAATTTGATTCCAAATTTATGAACATATATTCATAAAATAGTTTGTTTGTTTGTTTGTTTTTGAATTTCGCGCAAAGCTACACGAGGGCTATCTGCGCTAGCCGTCCCTAATTTAGCAGTGTAAGACTAGAGGGAAGGCAGCTAGTCATCACCACCCACCGCCAACTCTTGGGTTACTCTTTTACCAACGAATAGTGGGATTGATCGTCACATTATAACGCCCCCACGGCTGAAAGGGCGAGCATGTTTGGTGTGACGGGGATTCGAACCCGCGACCCTCAGATTACGAGTCGAGAACCCTAACCACTTGGCCATGCCGGGCCTCATAAAATAGTAGTTTTATAAAATTTTGAACACAATTCTACAAAATGTGATGACGTGCTCTGATCCCTACCTGTATGGAAAGGGCTAATTCATACATAATTGTGTTGTCAACATTACCACATAAGCCCCCCACTTTCCAAACTGTGTCTACACAGTTGCAATGTAAAAAAAAACTTACTATAGACTGCCAGCATTCTGTTGGTGTTCCAAGTTTGGCAACATTGAAAGTTAGCAAATTTTCATCCAAATAACAATGAACTCAACCTTCTGTAATAGGATTTGATAGTCACACTTATGACACACCCTAAGCCCATAAATGCAAGGCATGATTTTTGTGGCAATGGAATATGAATTTTGGACTCTTGGATAAACAGTCTGGCATAATTACTAGGCCATAACGGGCCCTGTATGTTCACAGTACACATCATATCATCAAGTTCAATCAGAGTATGAAGTCTTAGAAAGCCTTTTTTTTTTCTTACTGTATTTGTAGAAGACATATCATCAGTAAAGTGTTTGTAAAAGCAGTTTACAGTGAATGTACCCTTAATAAACACACCTCAAAGCAGGTCTTGTTTGAAACTACATATTAACAAATGAATAAACTTCTGGAAACAAAGATTTCCAAAAAGTTATGCCAGAGAATAACAGATTATTAATTTTGTTTTCCTTTTGTTTGTTCAAGTGCATACTTACTAGGTGCTGTTCTACTCCAAAAGGATCATAAACATGTTTCTGATTTGCATTTCCTCATTTTACAGACAGTAATACTATAGCAGTGAAGATATTATGAACTTACTGGACTAACAATTTTTAGAAGCTTGATTCCATATTTTTCCATGGAACGATGAACTTCTCCAAACTCTGTAAATGCTTCACTGGCTTTAGGTTGGGGTTCTTTTACACCAATAGAAGCAAACACATCACCAAAACCTATACAAATAATTAATTAAAAAGATGTTTCATACATATGAATTAATTACCATGGTTTGTACAATATTCAGCTATCATGTGGTAATTTAACATGCATGTTTCTTCAAATAATTTAATTCATGAATGACAAAAGTATTAAAAAATAGCTAACTTTTTACCTCGTTGAATATTGTTGTTAATTGATAAATTATGGTTTTGAAAAAAATGGCTTCCACCAAAGATTTATTACACACCAAAAACAGATTGGAAATTGTATGTATGTTTTGAAACATTACTAATTTGAAATATGTCTTAAATTGGCTCAGAAGAATGAGATCAAACAACTTTAGCAAAATGGAATGTTTCATACCATGACAAATGAATTCATTGTTATGCTAGATGATATGACATACAAGATATATGTTTTTTGCATGAACAAAATATTTTCAAAATATGAATGAAAACTCACTTTCCTCTATGTTTTCTAAAGATAGTTTTTCATTAACAAATACAATGTCCTAACTACGTACTTATAAGTTTTGTGATTCTGATAGTTTCTTTGTCATAAGTTTCTTATCATGAGAAAGATACGCACATGTATACATCAGACCCACACGAGATACATCAAATCAAAACATAAAGAGTAAATTAAATTCCTTTCAGAGCTTGTGAATACCTCAAGTCCTCCACAAATATTCAGTATTCATTCATAAATACAAAACATGTATAAAAATCAATGTACTTCCAAAATAATTCAAAAGTGTTTTGGCAATTATTTTATGTTTCTACAAATAAATAACAAAAAAATTAAGTTTTAAATGAAAAACATGACATCCATATATTTTAGTTAAAAAAAAAAATTCACAGCTTAAACAAAATCTATTTGATTATTTTAAATGCCCCAAAGTACGAAGAAAATTTTTGCAGCAGTAGGTCACAAACAATGAATCCTCAGATTCACAGTTTGGGCATGCTTACACTAGGTCATGCCACACCAAGTGCAATAAAATTTGATAGCTACAGTTCATTTTGTGATATTTATCTCTTTTTCTTTCTGTGCTATTTCACTTTATAAAGATATGTTGTTTCAAGCAATATAGCCATATATTTAAATCAGTAATAAATAACAGTAAGTTACTTACTTTTGTATATTTTACAAACATCAAAAAAGGCTTTGAGAACTGATTTTGTATGCTCTGTTATACCTCTATACATGTGTTCATTTCTTTCTAACTCCTCCAGTTTCTTCACTAGATTGTCTAGTTTGAATCATTATAAAATAATAGTATTATAATACAATAATTTTCTTTAAAAATGATGAGAGGTAATTACAATAATTTCTGAGAAATCAAATAATATGACAATAGGGTCTAATTCATTTAAATAACATCTTACAACTTTATTACATAATACAAATTTACAATAGTAGAGTACTTCACTACCTCAACATCACAATATAAACTTACCATTACATAAAATTGCTCTGCTAAGACCAAGAGCATCAGCAGTTGCAGAGCTCATGTTCTCAACCACTCTATGTTTCATCTTTTTCAAAACTGAAAATAATAATTGCAGAGTAAAGAAACACGTACATGTATAAATATGTGTGTACTGGAAAAACATCTTCAAATGCTAATACTTTCACACTTTATTGTCATGAAAAGTACGATAAGCTTGCACTAGTTGTTGCAGTTTGATGTGTATTTAAGTCTCGTTACTTCACAGAAGCCCTTATAGAGAGGTTTAAATGTCTATTCTGTTATGTTATTAAAACAATGTGTGCATAAATGTTGTGATGTGTTTTTACATTTTTAACATTGTCTTTAACTCTTTCTTAATAAATTTGTTTAAGTTGATAAAAAATTAGAATACAACATATGAATACACAACTTACTTATATCCAGTGTTTTTCCTTGCTTTGGGTCAGCATGAAGTTTATTATAATTAATGGTCACTTCACTCTGGGAAGTAGTCACAAGAAAAGATTTAAACATGTTCCAATCTATCAATGCACATTAATTTTGAACAGATATAACACATAATTTCCTTGCTTATTCTTTTATGAAAAGCAAAAATTCTGGATACATTGTAATTAGTAAAATTAAACTTCAGTGTGTATGAGACGTGATGTATAGAAGAAAAAACAATATAGTTAAAACTTAAAGTAATGACTGATATACCATTAAGATGAATTACAGGTAATCCTAAAATAACAAAGACCATCTAAGTCTCATCACTGTCATACATATATAGGTACTTTAAATTTGGTAAAAAATGTATTCATTAAAAAACATGTCAATGCATAAATGTATTATTTCAAAATTCATTGAATAATTATAAAATTGATCAATAACTTCAAATACTTTTAACAAATATTATCAAACATGTAAACTTAAATATAAGTAAACTGGCAATTTTACTCACTTTCAAACCTTGAATCAACTTAGCAACCTCAACTTTAGTTCTGCCTTTCACTGATATTCCATTGACTCCTACTATCTCATCACCAGATTGGAGTGCACCATCTTTTTCTGCAGGGGTGTTATCAAACACCTGAACAACATACAAACAAGGACAGTAGGGTGATCCACCTCCTATACTGATTCCAATCAAATTATCTTCATCTTTTGGTATTGTAACACTTCCTGATGTAACAGTCATTCCCCTAAGGAAAATGGTGTATGAACAGAACTTGATCACATGTGCACACTGCTGTAAGTGAATTTGTAACATGTTGCAAATATAAACTGATAAAATCTGATTGCATTACATGTACTTTGGTGCACATTTGTCACTATGGAAGTATTGCAACTGCTGAATCCTATAAAATTAAAGAATATTTGATTCCTTTAAAAAACATACAAGTTAAAAACAAAATACAATAATCTCCAGCAATTACTTTGTTCTACTGTATGTTACGGTATCTCTCAACATTACCACATTACAACATGAACCCCAAACGTAGTTGATAAACAGAGTATTAAACATGCAGTAAAATAATTTCTGGAGTTGAAGGGTATCTTTGTTTTTAGTTATTATGTGAACTGCTTTGTTCAACAAACTCAAAAAACAATAGAAGAAATATGTTGCTACACATAACACAGGCTAATGCATAAGCATATTTTAATATATTAGTAACATTAGAACAATAAAGAAATGTATGTGAATTATATCACAGATAAATATATCTTGTGGTTCATTAAAAATCTGTTAATAGTTTCTTTGTAGTCATTTTTTTAACAATAAAAACAAAACTGAACTTAAATTTTTTGAAGTAAAAACACAAATGAGGTGAGTTTGTGATAAACCAATTTTAACAAATATAACTATAAATAGTAACAAAGCTTGCACCGTTTTCAATTGAACTCTCATTTCTCAACCATATACCTGTAACTTGAATTTTTATATAATTTCACTGAACAGACACTGCATTAAAAGTAAACAATAAAATAATTCCTACATGTGATATGTACAGTGACAAAAACCAAATTACTTGTACACATACTTTTAGAATCTCATAATGAGTCTTATAATAAGCTTATAGAAAGTTACATTAATATGTATTAAAAATGTACAATTTTTAGAAAAAATCCATGACTGCACATTACATTTAAATTGGTACTTTTTTGTCATTTCTACAAATACACCAAAAAAGACTAAATTTTTCACATACAAAATACACACCTCAAAGTTGATAAATATAAAGGACAAGAAGTTAATATACTGTATAGAAAGAATGTGAAAAAATAACTTCATTAAATATACAACAAATTTCTGTATCTATATTTAACATCTTTTATTTTCCATATGACCTAATAATATAGCTTAAGAGTTTTATTAGTACCATTTACATGCTAGAGTCAAATCTTAAGCACATTGTTAAAAATTTAATATAAAATTGTTGATTATTTTCCCTAATGTAATGTCCCAAGATCATACAATCCAATTATTTCAAATACTAGTTATAATTAAACCTAATTTTACATCAGTTATACCAAGTTTTGGTATTGCATTGTACATTGACATAGACACAAGTTAAAATTTGGTATTAAAACATTTGTTTCTGAAGTTTAAATTCATTTCTTTTTTTAATAAATATGTCTAATACAGTAATACACTTCTTTCATCACTTCCCACATTAAAAAATATTTGGGGTTTCAACTGCAAGATTACACAATTTAATGATACCTAAAATAAACCAAACCTTGTGTGAAATAGTTATCATGCTAAAGACCAAACTAAGCATAAAAAGGTAAGTTAGTGAGGCACAGTAATGAGCAAAATGGTTGAAAGCAAACAAATGAAAATATTTAAGAAAATAATAGCTAAAAACGAATTAAAAACACATACATGCGATCTTCCATCATAGTGAAAAACACAAAAGAGTAATGATCTTCAAGGTCAGTACTGTAGAAGATAACAGATCGTATGAGTACTGGTTGCTTCATGACATACTCTAAATGACAATAACATCAGAGCAGAAATCCTTACACACAGCTATAAATAACTAAGAAAAATATAAAATACTTTTTCTTTTATCAGTCATACTGGGTTTAAGACAAAATTTTACATTTTAAATTAAACACCTTTACATGTATAAAGATGGCCTATATCATCAACTGTCAGTTGTTTTTAGGCTTCTTAACATACTCTTTCTACATGCATGTTATCTTATGATGCCACTTTTGAACTTTCTCATTTATGTGACTCAAGAAAAGCTCCACTTACAGTATGTCAGCAGCTTCCATTTGTGTCCACATGATGTTCCGTTGACCACTAGTGGCATGTGACACTCAATGAAATTACTCTTTTCACACTCAATAAGAGAAATATTTTGAATTTGAAGGATACACTGTATGTGACATGATACCTAGTATGAAGTAGGTACCGAAAGCTATCATAATCCCAAAAACAGATTTAAAAAATATCCTTCCCATACTTAGGAATGATGATATTTTTTTAGTCAGATTTTTTGAAATTTGAAATGAAGACATTCTAAACTCTTACACCTCATTAAGTGAAATTATGACAAAAGTCCTGTAGATAATCGTTTGAACATATACCACTTACTTAATCTGTATATTAAACTAACATTCATATGTATATATATATATATATGCTGAAGTATATGGTTAATTTTGCTATACCTGAAAGTTCATTGTTAATTTTTCAATCATTATATGAAAAAGAAAGTTTTCAGGATGTAGAGCATCTTTTAGATCTCATACCCCATCTAGTCCACCAAAGATTAGATCAAAGTATAGACAAAATTAATTATAGTAGATATGGCATGCCCAAAATGTATAACAACAATATTAGTTCAGTGTCAATTGTTAATCTTTGAAAAAGTTGTTCTGGAAAAATAACACTTGAACAGTCAACTTATCTTAATGGTCATTAACGTGCTAATTTTTGTTATGGTTTCTAGTAACTTAATGTAACTATTTAAGTAAGATAGAGCATACAATATACTACATAAATATGGTGGAAATTAATAAGTAGCCAGTGCCAAAGCCATGTCTTTTGATTACCTAATACATTCTCGTAGAGAAGAATTAAATTCAAGCATTGTTAAAACCTGTAAAGCCTTACAAAATATGTCCATTGCATGTGATAGTTGAAGAGCTTGACCGATACTTCTCTAATGACAAAATCCACATACTGAAAGCATTAGGAGCTTTTGATGCATCTAAACTTTCATGCTCTCATGCTTCTTGCAAAAAGATTCAAAAACCTGTTTAAACATTAACTTGGGACTTAAATATAGGGTGTGAAAGGACACAAATCATGATCCAACTGGATTAAAGCATTAACTTATCATTATACTCTAACCTACAGAAAATTATAAATATTTCCAAAACACTTCCTATTACAAGTAAAATAGCTAAATGAGTATTAGTGCAATGAACCGGATCATAATCTAGGCATGCAATCTCTTTGATCCATCAAGAGCAAGTGATATTTTTGCTATTATCTCTTAAACAGTTATACTGAAATCCTTTCATCAAGTTTTTTACAGATTGGCAAGTTAAAATCAGTTCACTATTGCACTTAAATAAACATGCTAAGATTTTAACGTTTCATTTATACATTATTCAGTAGCTTTATTGTAGAACTGATATAACGTGATTGTATATTTAATACCTTTTTAAATATATTATCTATACTATCTCTGATGAACAAAAATTCATTTTTTGAGCTCATTATCATAATATAGTACAAAATATTTTCAAAGAATCTGTTTTGGACATTACACTTTATAATGAACCGCTTATTTGAAAAACTGAGTTTTAATATTCTATGATATTAGGATACCTTTAGTTACTATTTCAGTACTTTATGGCTTTTACTATGCATTGATAATCATCAACTGAGAATATATTTTTGAATATTTATTATCCAAGAAAGTAGGTGAAGGCATATTTCTATAAATCTTGCCATTATTTAAAAAAGGAAAAGATTTAAGTACATTAACTAACAACAAATGTAACCAATTGTAAGCACAAAAATAAATGCAATTTAATCAACAACATTAGACATTCTAAAGTTAATATTTTAAACAGACGTATTATTTTTCTGTCTCAAATGAGTTTTGTGATTTGTGTCCTTTATAAGTAAATCTAAATTTTTGATGATGTATAACATTTATTGGAGGTGCAACTGCACCCTAGTTCCTCCACTGTTTGTGTCTTATTAAAAACCAGCTAAGTAGAAATATGCACAATATTCTCACCAGGTCATAAGAGAAACCCATCAGAAGAAGTACACCACAAAAGGATTTACCTGTAAAGAAAACAGAGAGTACAGACCTCAAAATGTTTGACCAAAACCACAAATATTGATTGCACAAAATGCTGGATATTGCAAAATTGTGTAAAATCTAAACTAAGATAGAAACCAGGCTTATCTATGCCAAGTATATGTAAGAATGAGCTTCAGACAATGAGATTTAGGAATGAAGATATATATATGGGATCAAATGTTTTATATAATGGTAATAAAACTGCAAAAAGATTGTCCAAGAATGTTGAAATAGGTAAAAACAACAGCTCAGTGAAAACAATGGGAATGACAAAAACACCTGACAAGAAACACTAAGAAATATACAGATGTTAATATTTTTCTTTCCTTAAAATGTATTTCCGATAGATGCTAATCTTCACACATAAAATAGTTTGATTCCTTGTACACCTGCCTATCAGATTTGCATGCCACTAGCCCTGAACTAACTCCCACTAAAACTCACCTGTTTAATGTGAACTGTACTAGTGCATGATGACATCATCATGCAACAATAGCCCTCCACCAATAGAAGGGTTGACACAGCATCTTTCATTATTAGATGAGGCAAGAAGAAAGTGCACTGAAAGAGGGGAGGACAAATGGGTAGGCATGAAGAGGTGAGTATCTATAGGAAATACATTTTCAGGTAAGGAAAATGCAAACTTCAGACACAATACCTCACATCTGCACACAGTTATTTGGTGTTTACTAGCACAAAGTATCTAGGCTAGCTGTGCCAAACAAGTAAAAACATGAAGAGTAAAAGGCTAAAAAAGGTAAAAATAATGTAGAAGTAAACAATGTACCAAAAACAGTCAAAATGTTAAATACATCTAAAAAGGCCAATGTCCTGTAAATAGCTAAAAACACAATCCAGTTGGAGAGTGTCACCATCACCAATGACACCATCCAATATCAAAGGTAAACCACTATAAAATACATGTCTAAAATGGTGCCATCGCTCATGCTCACAATGACGACATGACAGTAAAATATGGGCAATTGTGACTTGAGTGTCACAACAGCTACACATTGGTGGGTCCGAACCAGATAAAAGAAAACTATGAGTTAAAAAACTGTGACCAATGTGTAGCCGTGCCAAAATAACTTCCTCCTTACGATCCTTACAGAAACAAGATAACCAAAGAGAAACCGTAGATTTGATCTGGAAAAGATTGTCATGATGTTGTTCATCCCAAGCAGACTGCCAACTGGTGCAAAGTCAAGCCTTAAAGATAGGACCCTAGTCCATGTATGTCACCGGCATGGCCGTGATGGCACCAGAGCAGACAGACTTAGATGCGGTGTCAGCGAGCATGTTCCCATGAATACCAACATGACCAGGTATCCAGAAAAACTGAATAGAAATGGAGGATAAAGAAAAATAGGCCAGTCAATGGAGAATATTGATGAGAACTGGGTGAGAACTAACAATATGAGCGATTCCAGAGCTTGTAGAGAGCCGAGAGAGTCAGTGTAAATAGTACAATTAGTGTACTGCTTAGCTTCTACATGATCGAGGGCAAGAGAAATGGCATACAACTGGGCAGTGAACACAGAAGCTGTAGAGGGAATTCTGTGAGCAACCACCAAGCCAGAAGAGACCATGGCAGAACCCACACATTCATCTGATTTCGAACCATCCGTATAAATGGATACAGAAGAATGGTTCAAAAGATGTTCAGCAAAGAGAAGACAGTACTTCCAATCGGGAGTATCTGCCTTCTTCAGATGACTTAGAGAGAGAAGACACAGTGGGGGATGGTGACAAGCCATGGCAGAATGAGCTGATCACTAGGGACAGCAATGTCATCCAATGACAGATCCAATTCAGCCAGCTGCTCCTGGATGAGAAGGCCAAAAGTAGGAATAGAAGACCATCTGTGATGAAAAAACATAACCCATTGGAGGAAGAAGACACAATCCCAAGTGGGATGCTGTGGCAAGGATCGAAGCTTGATAGCATATTGCAGAGAAAGTTGCAAATGGCAGAGGTGAAGAGGAGGTTCATGGGCCTCAGTGTACAGACTATGGACCAGAGAAGTGCAGGAAGCCCCAATACAGAGTCAAAGCCCCTAATGATGAATGGGGTCCAATAACTTCAAGGCAGAGTCCCTGACCAAGCCATAGACCCATAGTCCAGTTTGGATCATATGAGGGCATGATAGATCTTTAGTATAGAATGACGATTTGCTCCCCCAAGGGGTGGAAGAGAGAACATGTAGCTGCTTAATGCGTGATATGAAAGTGACCTTATGGTCAAAGATAAATCCCAGACACTTAGTCTTGGGAACCATGGGAAGAGCAACATCGCCAAGACAGAGCTCAGGATTGGGGTGCAAGCCCCACTGGTGGCAAAAGTACATACCAACAGTTTTTGAAAAAGGAACCTCAGCTACAGTCCATAAACATGGCAGGTGAATGCTCCCATGACTTGATTAAAGATATATATATATATAAGGAATGGACGCAATGCCCAAAGGAAGAGCACATTACTGAAAGATCTGATTTTGATGGGCGAAACAAAAAAAATATCTGGAGGATGAGGCAATCAGATTGTGTAAAGAAAGGGGTCTGAAATGTTGACCTTGGTCATCAAAAGTCCAGGTGAAAAAACCACCAGAGAGAGCAAAGAAATCTTCAATATGGAACCAAGTGATGATAATAAATCAGTAGAGAGACAACAGGTTGACAACCAGACACCAGTTCCCAGTCTTTTTTTGGGACCACAGAAAGACAAAAGGAATAATCAGGTGTAGAAGTAAATACTCTTTCAATAGCATTCTTAGCCAAGAGATTTGAGATCACATCCTTGAGACACTGTGGATAAAGGAGCATGAAGGTAGGAGGAAAGGAAACGGAAAATGGAAGGAAGTGAGGAGATAGGCTGTGGGTGAGAACCTAAAGAACCTATCTATCGGATAAAATAGAGAACAAAGACTGTTGAAGACAGACAGGCCCCCATATGATAGAATAATCACCAACAAGACAAGCAACAACCCTAACATCGGGAAGTGAGAGGAAGGAAAGTGGAAAAAAGGAAAGGAAGCTGGGGTGGGAAGGAGAGACATGGATTCAGCAAGCAAGGCTTAAAGAGACAAGAAACCATAGTAGACAATGGGGACTGATGCTGGGTTGCTTCAATTTGGGTCTCCAGTGAGTCAGAAACATCTCCGAAAACCTCTGGGTAAAAAAATGGAGCCCAAAGAAGAACACAAGGGGAAGCAGAAGGGAAGCATACATTTGTTCAGAAAGCAACCCATTCCAACAAGCTCCAACAGCAAATGAAAGAAGTAAGAAGAGACAGAAAAATGTGGTGAAAAAAAGTGAACAAACTTCTCCCAAAAGCCTTTTCCTGGAGCACAATGAAGTGCCTCACACATAAGGTGAAATGACAAGATGTAACACAGGAGGGTATTAAGAAAGAGATAAAGGCACAAACATTGGGCACTAGAAAGAGAAATTAAGAGGTCAACCCCTCAGGCATGGAAAAGAGATTCTGAAAACTATGTAAGCCAGGGCAAAGGAGTCAAGTAGACAAAGAAGACAATGCATGGTAATGTGCGTGTGTGCAGTTGTTTAAGAAATGAGTCTACATGGATCCTAATGTTAGGTGAAAGAGGAAAGACAAAGTGGTATTGAGTATGCATTTTATGTAGTAAAGCATGAGAGGAATCAAAAGATAAAAGGTAAAAAGAAAGAACATACCTCCAAAATCATGTCAAGGAAGAGATTAGAAGGGTGAGGACTTTCCTTCACAAGTAAAGATGAGCCTAGAGCAAACCCTATTGGGGAAGATAGCCAGTCAAATCATCATCGTCCTGATCATGTTCAAATTGGGAAGAAGGAATGCCAACTGAATAGACAAGAGGAAGAGGTCCAATGTGCATGAAGGAATTCCCAACATGTTGAACAATGGTTGTAACATTCTCCACTGGCAACAAGTCCCCTATAACCACAACTAACACAAGTCTCATGTTAAGAACATAGTCACTATCAAGGAACAAATTGGAAGTTACTGTCACTTGAAAATGCACAATGGTTTTTTCTTTTACTTTAGTAATAAAAGAAACCAGTGAAACCTAAACAAAATTTAGGTTTTGTAAACTATTGCAAATCTCATGTCATTGATTAATAATTATAAAAACACAAGGAAAATAATGAAGTTATTTTGGGCACAAGAGCTTTGGGGAGTTACTGCACAAGAAGGCTGTGTCCCCCTTCTATTGATGGAGGGATATTTTCACATGATGATGTCATCATGCACTTGTGCACTTCAGATTAAACACATGATTTATAGGTGGAAGTTAGCTCAAGGTTAGTGGCATGCACATCTCATAGGCAGATTTGTGAGGATCAAGCTATTCTGTGTGTGAAAGTGAGGTAGCATCTCAGAATCAAAAGTTTATGATGTGTCACGTTAAATGAAAAAAGATGTTACAGGATACATGTGAACAGATAGACATATATATACAGAAGTTTACAGAGAAACCTTCTAGAATACTGAGAGAAATATTTTGGAGATTAATTTAATATGCAAACAATGATTTTGACATAAATTCCAAAAAAACAGAAAAATAAGAAACAATAAGGAGAAAAGGAAATTCACCATTACTCAATTCCTCCAGGAAGTTTACAAAAACACTATAGAAAACAGACAGAACATAGAATCTGAAAAAATATGGGATGATGTAACAAAAGGATATAGATTAGAAAACCATAGGATGATGTAACAAAAGAATATACATCAGAAAACTATAGGATGATGTAACAAAATATGTACCAGTAAACTATAGGATGATGTAAAAAAATGATATACATCAGAAAAGTATAGGATGATGTACAAAAAGATATACATCAGTAAACTACAGGACAATGTAACAAAAGGATATACATGACAAAACTATAGGATGATGTAACAAAAGGATATACATGAGAAAACTATAGGATGATGTAACAAAAGGATATATGTCAGCAAACTATGGGATGATGTATCAAAAGGATATACATCAGTCAACTACAGGACAATGTAACAAAAGAATATACATCAGTAAACTATAGGATGATGTAGCAATAGGATATACATCAGTAAACTATGGGATGATGTAACAAAAGAATATACATCAGTAAAACATGGGATGATGTAACAAAAGGATATATACCAGTAAACTATGGGATGACGTAACAAAATAATATACATCAGTAAACTATAGAATGATGTACCAAAAAGATATATATCAGTAAACTATGACAATAAACTTAAGACAGATGCCAAAAAATCTACTGCCAATTTTCAATAAAACTCTTGTGTACAGTGGTGTTTTTATGTTTGGAGAAACATAAGTGGAGCGAATAGTTAGCCTGTGGGTGGGAAGAAAATATTAACACTTTCATGTCAGTGGGAATTACACTATAGAGAATTTTAAAAGACTATATCTCAGATGGGGGGGGGGGGGCTGTTGGGAGCCAGAGCTCTGAAATGGGGACTGCACTCCATGCCATACCAGGGTATAGAATCCTCCCAACATGTATTACACATACATTCATGAGAATAGGTAACTTCACCCAGTAATTAACCTTAATAAGGAAAAGCAGGTCATACACTGAAGATGTATCATATAAAAGTTATGTCAAAATGCCCATCTAAATTTGTTTAATATAACCATTTATAATTGCAAGATTTGTGAAATTAAGGTAAATGTAAGTGCTAAATTTCTTAATAATAAAACTAAAACTTCAAAATTATAATAAGTGTGTATTATGTAGTTAAGTCTGGAAAGTTTAAACACAATTACACAATATTCAGGCCACAGCATATCAGTGTAGTGTGACTAAACGAAAGTGTCACACACCATAAAATGGTTTGAGTAATACCCTAGTCAGTCAAACAGAGCAAGGAAGTTCGATTAAGTAAAAAATGTGATATACATAATACATGTGATACTATACACATTCATATCTGCAAGAAGATTGTTCACTAAACTCATTTCATTAAGTTGCAAAATTAATGTATGGTTCAAAAGAGTCTCTTTTATATGCTAAACTTTACTAAGTAGCATTCATGTTCTTTTATTTGTGTTTAAGACTAATCAATTAGTTGATCCAATATACCTAGAATTGTATTTAAGACAGTGGTTTTCAAGATTTGTTCCTTCATGGTCCCCTTCACCAACCAAAAACAATATCACAGACCCCTATCCTTAGATAGTTCTATTTGGAAGCTGATCCTACAGAATAAGTGGCACAGAAAAATTAGCAAGTTAATGAAATTTTAAAATAAAACATTATTTTCATTTGTTCAAACACAGAGTGCTGGTCTTTATAAATATAAAATGGAATCTTGGTTTTTATCAACTTGGGCCTTTTGAGTGTTCATGGCTGTGAGGAGAAGAATGCTGCTTTACAAAAGCACTTAGATTATTTAGCAAGTTGATTGAATAAATGGCAGATAGGTTTTAATTACAATAAATGCAAGGTCGTGCATTTGGATTATCATAATTGGAATTATAAGTATACTTTTGATTTCCATAACCTTAACAGTGTTATAGAAGAAAAGGATCTCAGTGTTCTGGTTGATCAGTTTCTTAAGCCATCCAAGCATTATATTGTTGTTAGTAGTAGGACAAACAGACTTTTAGGTTATATCTGGTTTGGTTTGTTTTGAATTTTGGAAAAAGTTACACAAAGGCTATCTGCGCTAGCCATCCCTAATTTAGCAGTGTAAGACTAGAGGGAAGGCAGCTAGTCATCATCATCCAACACCAACTCTTGGGCTACACTTTTACCAAGAAATAGTGGGATTGACCATCACATTATAATGCCCCCATGGCTGAAAGGGCAAGCATGTTTGGTAGGACAGGGAATCAAACACGCAACCTCAGATTGCGAGTCAAGCACCCTAACCACCTGACCATGCCAGGCCTAGGTTATATCTACAGAAATAGAGAATATAAGTCTAAAGAATTTATAATTTCATTGTATAGGTCACTGGTTAGGCCACATTTGTGGTATTGTGTTCAATCTTGGCTTCTTATTTCAGGAAGAATACTGATAGTGTTGATGCATCATCTTTTTTTTCTACTTAGTAGGACTAGGGGACGTAAGTATCAATCTTGGATGAGCAGGAGTCATCTTCATCTAAGTGCTATCTTCAGATGTGGTGGATACATTATTTTATGGGAGTTTAAGGGAAAGTTTGAAAAATACTTGAATGATAAGGACTGACTTTGAGTTTGTTTTTTAAAAGTTTAGTTTAGTCAATAAGACAGTTAGATGGATCAGCACGTCCCTTTTGTTCTTAAATTTTATGTTAGGTTTGGTACAATTATTTCACAGCTACTTACCAACTTGTATGATATTGTTTGCCTATGATGTGATGTGTCTTTACATATAGTTTCAATTCTCTAAAAGGTGAAAGGTATATGCAATTATAAAAGCTAAGGGTTACACTTACAGTCAGTTTAGATTGGGTAAAACTTTTGGTTATTTATTATCATGGGCAAAAAGTAACTGAAATTGACCAAATAATCTTCTGTGGTTCTGGTACTAGTAGCATTTCTATATATAGCCTACATATTTGTAGTTAACTTGTTTTTGTCTTGTTGGTTGGGTAAGTGGCTTAAAACTTAATAAATAGCCAATTAACTTTCTGTCACCTTTTTCTCATGCTCTTTAGTAGAGTTTACACTTTCAGTCATGGGTGCAAGCCTATGGAAGTGATTAAACAATTAAGAAGTTATTCAATGACCTCATTCTCCAGTATTTGATGCTTACTTATGTAAAGAACGTTAACCCCCAAAATGTGTAAAACTGCAAGGGACCATTTGAAAAAAACCCATCCCATAATGTCTCAAAATCAAATATAAAATACCTTTCTCAGCCTTGTGCCAAGTATGTGCAAGTATAGAGACCAAAATACTGAATATAATTATTCCACTAAAATTTCTTAGAATAGAAGTAATATCCCATTTTCGTATTTTATTAACTTTCATTTATTTTAAGTTTTATTAACACAGGCACTTGCAGAAAACTCATAAAAGCAGTAATTGAAAATACTGTAGGTTCACACTTCTTGAACTTGTGCTACACTTGTAAGTTGTACTTACTACCAACACCATTTTACTGGACTATAATTTATAGTATTACGTATAATGGACTACGAAAATTGTCTTAAAAACAAAAAAACTTTGGTCACTGTAAATTTCACCCTCAGCGCTCAACCTTTTCACCACCTACATATACTGAATCAACGTAGTCGCTGAATAGGACTTGGTTTACAACATTGATAAAATAACGTTAACACTATTACACGCTATACAGATAAATTAAGCCTACAATACACGACTGGCTAAAAGTAAAACAAATTTCCTTACAATTTGTCTTCTTCAAGTTGATATAAATAGTCATAATCAAGCATCATTTTATTAAACCTGCTTAAACAAAACGAGTGTTTGGTTTTTGATTTGATATTTGGTTATAGTTAGCCTAACAATTTTTATTTATTTAACAAAACTAAACAGAACCTTTCTAAATTGAATCGTAAGTGGCGTTTTTATTGATCTCTACTTTGATTGTTCGAAAAGTTTAACACTAACAGCCAGATCTTTTATTATTCGAAATTAGTTCTTTTATGAAATCTTATGTTCTCTAATTAAACTTTAAAGTATCACCAAAATGTGAGTAAATTAAAATTCCTAAAGAACGGATAATATTTATATAATTACATGTAGCGAGGAAAACATGGTGACTTACCATTAGTTTTGTTTGTTGAATTGTTACAGATTTTAAGTGTAAAACTAAACAAAAGGCTATCTGCAATTAGTGAGATTTGACCGTCACTCTTATAACGCACTCAAGGCTTCATATTGTGGAACTCATTTTGCTAGTAGAGGCCGCAACCATTAATTATTGAATTCCAATTAGGAACATGATATTTTTAGACCACGCCTGACCCTTCACCATCGGTCTAAACAATCGAATCCTTTACCACAATGAGGATACACAGTGTTGGTAAGAGTATTTAATATATCTACTTTTATTTATTAGTTTTATTATTTCTAAGTTTGCTTCGATAATTATTCTATTATGATAATTATGCTACTAATTCTAATTTTATTTTTATTATATGATATTATGCATTGTTTGCTTAGTATATACTGTATATTTTAAGGCAAATCTAAGTCTCCTGTGCTGGTTGAACCCTATGAATTATTATTGGGTTTACGGCCAAAAATATCGTTAACAATGAAGGCAACCAGCTGATGAAACAACGCATTATATTTAATTAGCTGTGTTTATTACTAGGATATATTTAGATATGGTGTTTTCATATTTATATTTTTCACCACATTGATTCTTTATATACATATACAGGGTATATTTTTAGTTCTGATTTATCAAGGTAGCTTGTTTTCATCAGTTTGTTTGTTTGTAATTATGCATAAAGCTACACAATAGGCTATCCGTGCTTTGCCCACCACGGGTATCGAAACCCGGTTTCTAGCGTTGTAAGTCCGCAGATATATCGCTGTGCTACTGGGGGGGCACTTTGATCAGAAACTTATACTAACTTGTATTACAGAAAAACTTATATTGACTCTAGAATTACGGGTTGAATCCCTATTAACATACGAGACACGCACACACACACACACAAACTTAGTGTTACCTATAGCAAACATTAGGGAACTACATTGATTCTTTATATACATATACATACAGGGTATATTTTTAGTTCTGATTTATCAAGGTAGCTTGTTTTCATCAGTTTGTTTGTTTGTAATTATGTAATAGGAAAAAAAAACTGTTAGCTGCAAGATGTTGAAAACTGCATGGTTGTATATCTTTATTTATCTAATTAATAAATCTAAAAATAGAAAAATGATTTTGGACCACCCTGTATTTTTATTTTGCTGCAAATGGCCTTATTTTGAGTATTTACTTTAAGTTTGTGGCACTTGGGTATATAATTGAATTAATTTTCAGTAAAAAGAGGCCATATTAAAGGAGCAAATAAATTCTTATATATCATGAAACACGGTAGTGGTTCATAATTGGGATCGCTTATTTGTTCTCTTTATAATTATTTAACATGTTCCACCAGTCTACAGGAAAAATGGGTGTGACTATTGTAATAAAACCTGTGCAATATTACTAAACGCATCATTGCGCATTGTGTACGGTAGTTTTTTCAGCTTATTTTACTACCTAGCAAATAACAGCGGCTGTATAACCGTTGACATATAATCTTTTTAATGTAGTCTGTAGTTTATATGGAGCGTCATAAAGCTACAAACCCCTATTTTGACTCCACGTATAAAAGCTGTAATACTTAGGAGAGTCAAAATATGGATTTGCAGCTTCAGGAAATAACGGCAGCACTATGTCTCAAACCTTAAACTTGTTTATATCCTTTTTTGCGATTGCATTTTCACTTTAAAGCTACCTATCTTGTTTCTCTGTTTTTTACGATCCATATTCACCCGTTTTACATTAACAATTTTTAATAACCTTGAAATTCTGTCTGTTTATCACGTTAAAACCATTTCTTTCATGGATCTTGTGATTTGGTTTTAGCGGCGGTGTTAACGAGGTAAGATTCTACACGTTATCGGATTGTAATTGCTATGTCTTTTTCCAAATTCTAAAAAGTTCCGTTTGTGCTTAATTACAAAGAACAATAAGAACGCAAAAATGCATTATTTTTTTTCCTCACAGACGTTTCCTTAACTTCCAAATTACCAATTTACTTTTATAACGTTCAGTACCACTGGGTTCTACATATTTCATCATATTGAACAATCTTATTTTTTTGGCTGTCACAACGCTCATTATAAAGAACTGTCCAAACACAAAAGAAACGGAAGAAGTCGAAGAGATGGCTGTAAATTACACAGGGAATACCAACAGTAATTAGTGAAATTAAACGTAACATGGATAGTATTTTTGTTAATGTTAAGTACTCACTGGAGTGATAAAACACCAAACAACAAACAAAACAAAATACAAAAACATGACATTAAAAACTGTTTGAGTTGGGCTACAAAATGTTGAAAACTGCAGGGTTGTATTTCTTTAGTTATTCATTTAATAAATTTTGAAATAGGAAAGATCATTTTGTACTACCTTGTACATTTATACTTGATTAAAAGGAAAACTTAGAAATAAATTACAGAAGATTTCGCCAAAAGAAAATTTTGATTTAAGAAAGTAAAACATGTGAACTCAATGAACAAACATATTATATTAGGGTTACTAAGTGATCTTTCTCAAAATTTTATTGCATAAGACTTCGTTTGCTAAATTCTAGCGCATAAAAATGCACAGAAGCAAGGGTTGAATATAAAAAAAAAGACTATCAGTATTGTAGAAATTGCTCAGAGACTGGTCAAAATTTTCACGGTAGTACAACTAATAGTAAAAGTATTACATATTAAATGTCGAAATTTTCCTAAAATGTATATGTAGCAATAAAGCTACATGAGGTAGGGGTTATGGACCCGCAATACATAAATACGCAGGTTATGTACGTTATATTAAAACGATTTTGGAGTCTTACCATATCATTACAGTGTATGTCTGGTCATGATATATCTGACGACTGTATATCTTGAAATTAGTCCTGCAGTGTAGTTTCCATTCAAAAGGCTCTGTCGTAAGGCTATCGTAATATCCAAAGCACACCACTCCTCCCTTCATGTTTTCCTAAGCTAGCTAGTGTACAAGGATGATGGTTTCCCAAAGCCCATTTAAACAGTTCCGTTACATAGAAATTCATAGACGCTGATATCCTATGACTTCATTGATATGTTTTCAAAGAGAATAACTTGATTGCCTGTTTCATTCCCCAGCTGCTTGAGATATGTGATGGTTCAACTGGAAGCTTTTTCGTTAGTGAGCCCATACTGTATTGGCCTCACTTCTAGATGGATATCATTCTTGAAGCATTTGAACAGCTTTTGAAACTGTTCTTTGTGTTCATGGATTTTCACCTGTTACAAGATGCCTCACTTTGCTTATTATGGCTGTGGTATGACTTGTTGCAGATCTCTTTTTAGATGGGTCTGGTACCCCAAGTTGATCCGTATTCCTTTATTTTCCAGTGTTGTTAAGTACAATCTGAACACATCTTTATGATCTGACTGTATGAATATTTTGTTTTGAAAGTAGGCTGTAAAATACTCTTCCCGAAGTGATAAAATTTCGACACCTGCCTACTGTCTGCAACACGCCAAACAAAGTCAAAATTTATTTATGAAACATGCGACTTTACATTGGCTGTGATTGTACGTAAATTGTATGTTCAAAATCGGTTTAATAATGTAATGCACTCAACACTCTGTGGTTTGGTTTTTATTTGTTTTTAAGACTAAAGTTATTCAAGGGGCTGTCTGCGCTGTACTCACCCCAGGTATCTAACTCCAATATTTAACGTTATAAGCCCACAAACTTATCACTGAGTCAGTGAAATGGGAAACAGTATAGAAAATTGTTTAAGCGGATGTTTTAAGATAATCAGTAGCTTCTATCATTAACTAACTGATGTACCTATTCAGTGTGCACGGGGAAGACATAAATGGGCCACAATTAATTTGCATGTCTTTCAGCATCAATTTGTCTTTTTCGCTTTTTTTCTTCTTCATATGCTTTATTTGGCTGTATCAATTGTTTTTTCTCTGTTTCAGTTATCCTAATTTTTGCTAAGCTTTCTTTATTTTGTTGTGCTATTCATCTGTCTACTTTTTCTTGGTCTTGCTAACGACATTTTATTTTATGCACTGTCTTTGAACTATCTTTAGTTTATAATTTATTTCATAGATGGGGATAGAAGTATTCACTTAAAACGAAAAGCTGAGGTGGCTTGATGCTGTAAACATTACATCTTTTAATTCTAATGTTAACAAATATCTCATATCTTAATTTAATCTATAATAGGGTGAAAGAAACTGGTGTAAATAAAATCATATATTAAAAATACAATTAAAATAAAATTCCAACTCGAGTGGAATTTGAACATGAGACTTCTACTTAAAAAAACACGAACACAGTAACCACTAAGCCTCTTTGACACTCCGTAATTGCAATACAATGCTAACAAATGTTAATTCAAAATATCATGGTATTTGTGATTTTCCGAATATTCAAAGAGCTTGCTGTAAACACGATCGCTTACTTAA